TAGTTCTGGTCAGCAGGCAATTTTGGTTACAATCCTTTGCTACTTGATACTTGACATCGTTGACCACCTTTTTTTTACCCTCTTAATAGGTTGAATGGATTTTTAGAAAAGAATTGTGGTTAAGGTTTATTATTAACCAATCGACCAAACGGGTAGTAATGATGGCTTCATTCATTTGACAACACTTTACAGAACGTCCAAACGAAGAGGAACACCAAATGGAAAGGGCAGAAATGGAATAATCGGAAGGATAACCCATAAAATGAACACTTGCATGTTTATTGACTCAATTAGTCAACTCAATACTTTTTCAATGAAATTTGGTCATAACCAATATAGTGCGTACCGATTTTCATGAATGAACATTTAATTTTGTCAAAGGTTGAGAACTTTTGAATTTAAAAAGATTGACATTTTTTTATTGTTTTCCACATTGAATTGCAAAGAATATATACATCAACGTCTTTCAAAAAGAAGAATCATTATTAAATTAAATTATGAGAGAAGCCGAAGAATTTTCAAGAACTTGAACCAATAACATTTTATGTGTCTTATTTTTCTGTGGATATAAAATGTGATGACATAATCATTTTATTATGTTCTGTTCAGGATTTTTTTATGAATATGAGAAGCGCATATATATGGACTTAAAAAATACCAAAATAAAAACTGATTTTTGCGTTCATCACCGTATATCATCATGTTTGCCTGCGATGTACAAATCTCTTCGTCAACTAATTGTCACGAATGCGGTCGAATAAGCTTTAATTTCATTTTTATTGCCTGGACAGAAAAGACACGACACCTTTTCAGGCTCATGTCGAATTCGTTCAAAAAAAATGTCTATCGTTTGATTCGTTATCGTTTGCAAATCAAGAAATTATATGTACGAGCCGACCACACTTAATGAAAATACTTTAAAAGAGATCGTTATTTAAGTCAAAATAGTTAAGATAATCATTACTTTGAAAGGTACATTCGTATGATGCTAGTTTGTGCAAGATACAAATCTTTATTGCTGTTGCAAAAAATATGTTGTTTTTTCTCCTCTCTTCTACTCTGTGTGTTGTGTATGTGCGTAATTTGCATGATGATGCACAGATTTGTCTGAAATTTTTATTGCAATAACGTTTGTCCACATGCATTTAACGTTAATTTTCGTCTTTGGACACACAGAGGGAACAAATCATAAAGCACACAGCAAGAATTAGTGTATGTAAAAGAAAGAAAGAAAGAAAGAAAAAAAAACAATAGAATATCAGTAACACATCTTTTGCAAATAACATTTCTTACTTCATATTGCATATGCACATACCGGCATATTGCATGAACCCAAATAAATCTCAAAAACAATTGTTTTAGTGTTGCAATAAACACATTTGAAACTGATCTGGATTTTTCGTGCAAAATTCATTTGAACTTTGTGGGCCTATCAGCATCTAACAATAAAATAATCGACAAAAAACAAACAAACAATAAAAAAAATGAAATCTTTTTCAATGTGTTTTTTTTCTTCTGCTTTTTGCAATGTCATAAAAAAACTGAAAACAAACTAAAGTATGAAGCATGTAAAATGTTATCATCAAAAATGGAAAGATAAAAATGGACATTAATACGAGAGAAAAAAAATAGAATATTTGTTACAAAAAGCAAATACACACTGTGTGGATGAGTATGTGTGTGTGTATTTGCGTGAAAAATAGCAAACCATAAAATTGAAAGATTTTTGCGAGCTCAAAAAATCGTAAAACACACGAGACCTCCGTCTAAAGATACTTATCGACAATAAAATATTATATTTTTATAACTACCAGTTCAGGACTTGCATCTATAATAGCTGTCTTCTTTTTTTCTCTCTTTAGTTTTGCGTGCATTACACACATCAACATGCACACACTTACACCCGTACCTATATGAGTCAATTCCAATCACATGGCTCTATTAGGTATGAGAACGTGAGTAAAACAATAACAACAACAAAAATTATGAAGAAGAAAAATCTCCAATGATATCGATAACGGTAAACGCATATTCTTCAAAATGCACGCGCGCGCATCACACAGCACATATAAGGTTCACAAAATGTACTGAACTGTCATGACTTTAAGTTGAAAAGCAATCGCAAAGTGCAGACGCTTGCGCTTGGTAACATCACATTCGTGAATTCATTTAGAAACTTTTCTTTGGCCGTTTGCATGACACAATCATAAAATAAGAGTGGATGTTGAAGTGATGGAACGAGAGAAATTGCAAAGATCTTATGGCACAGCAAAATGGGTATTAATGTGGGATTCACAGAGCAAGCCACAAAACGGTCAATCGTAAAAAAACCGCATACAACAACTCTAACATCATTTTTTTTTCTCTTACATTATACACGTTTACTTTTTTTTTTGCAACTACTTTTTTCTCGACTATTTGGTTAGTTGTTTCCCCTGCATATATTCATTGTGAAACACTTCGAAATTAGTTTAATGTTTTAGATTTTCATCTATCTAAACGAAAATCAAAGAAAAAAAAATGTTTAAATTATGACGCAGTTGAAATATTTTAATTTTCATGAAATTGCAATACAAAACAATTTTAATTTGAAGCCTTGTATTGCGATCAAAATTTCAACGATATATTTAAAAGCTGAGAAAAAAATGATGCGCCAAATGTCATTCATATTGAATACATGTTTGCTATTTGCATTGATGGTGTGCCAAAACCTTTGCAAATCGTTGCCATTTTCCAATAAATACAATAATTACTAGGGAATTACATTTCATTACACACCTAATTAGTAGCATGTTCAGGCGTACAATAACACAAACACATATTGAGATTGCGAAGCGATGCCACGATTATCATTGCGTATTAAATCTATTCAGCCTATCGTGCATGTTAACATCAAACTCAATTTTAATTTACACAACTACAAAGGCGAAAATGAAGCGCAACAACGACACATACACCGTTGTGCCGATGAAAAACGCCGGGCATTTGCTTTCCTTTTATTATTGCAAATGTATATATATATAAAAAAAAACGAATCAACTAAGCAAATATATGTATGTGCGTGTGGAAGTGCTTCAGTTTTTGGCTCCACCTTGAATGGTAATCGATATACGATGAATGAATATCAGTAACAGTGCTTTGTGTCAAATTCATAGCCGTACTACATTCCACATTTAAAATAGGATTGTAGATAGGTAGTCCACGGTTGTTCGAGCTAGCGCGAACCCATACACTTATAATAAACGAACGGGTGCGACTATGAACGCGCAAACGAGATAGATATAGTGTGGCGTTGATTGCGCATCGAGAAGCAAACTCTCTTACGTATTGCAAAATGAGTTGTGATCTCATTGCTAAATGAGAAATTCACATATGAAATCTAAGCATACAGAATTGATGCGAAACAAATTATTCGATCTGAGCTCCCCACCTTAAATATTATTCATTATGGTGTCGTCTCTTTTTTCCATTCAGTTCGTTTCTCCTTTGCTCCCTTCTTTTTTTAACATGCTATAGCTGTCAGTTGAGCTCTGCCTTCATTCCTGTTGGTGCGACACATTGTCAGTTATTGCACTAATTTGATTGTGTACCGTTCGTGGTAACGAAGACGATCGTCAGTACAATGCCATTTAATATGTGTGTGTATGTGATCGTGTATTTGGACTCATATGAATTACTATTTATCGTGATAGTTAGATGCGTTGAGACGCGTTAGCGAGCGTTGATTTTCTTTTTCTTTCTAAAGCACATTTGATACGAGATCAGATCCGATACAGAAACAAACACATACACACAGAGAGTGAGACAAAAAAGCACATGGGTTGTTATGCGATTCGCAAGGAATATACTGTTTGTTAAAATATATTAATCGATTTGCATCATTAATCACTGTAATCGTGCAAATAAGTACCAGTATAAGATTTAGAAAAAACGATCTGATTTCAGTCTATTCATTTCGATACAATTCAATTAAATCGGACTCGACTCGAATTGTTTTGATCATAAGACCTTGATAAATGCACTCAAATGCTCATTGTTATGAACAAATATTTCGCATAATAATTTTGATGCGATTTTGATCTGTTCGCTTTATGTTTGTTTGTTTGTGTGTTTTTTTTTTGGCCGTTGTACCTTCAAATCAGCACAACAATTAGATTACGATCAGATCAGACAAAATATTGATTCAATACAGCCACAACATCAATAGACCGTCAAATATACAAACCGATAAAATAATGTATGAATAAATCAGCAAAAGTAAATAGAATCGGTATTTTTGAACGTACAATTCATATAAATATTATGTATGTGAAGGTTTTTTTTTCTCTCTTCTATACTACGCAGAGTAATTCACACAGTTGCAGTGCAAAATGCACGGTTTTCGCTCATGTCTGATGCGAATAATACATGTCTACAGCGTGTGCTGCTGTTGTAGTACCTTCTGTTCGTATGTGCAACAAAATTTTATTCAATGTGCCCGTTGCCCGTTTCTCGCTTCTCTCGCTTGCGCGCACATGGTATTTTGTGTGCATGTAGATATCCATGTTTATGTGCGCATGTATATGTGTTTAGCAATTCTTACGATTATCTAAGCAACATGACTCACAGATATCCCATACATACAAAGCCCAAGCGAAGACACACAAAATCATTTTACCATTTCAAAATTCTGTGTATTTACATTCGTCTCTTTTGCGCTCGTTTAAGTCTTTTGTATCGGTGTTGTGCGATCGGTTCGGTCACATTGTTTGCCTGTATTTTCTTCTTTTCTGTTTGTTTTTGTTCTGTGTTTTTTTTTTCTTCTTTATCGCTTTGTGCGCTTCGTATCTACATATTGTGTGTACGAGTCTGGTGTATTTGTGCAGTTTGTGCTCAAGTTATGATTTTTAACCTCCCGAGAGTCAATTGAAACGTTACGTTCCTCAGTTGTTTGTGGTGCGCGCTTTTGTAAGGTCTTTTATTTTTTTTTTTTGTTTTTTTGTTTCGTTGTTGTTCTGTTCTTCGAGGATATTTTTTTTTGTCTCTCGTCAAATTCACATAAATTTTGCGCATCGATGTCATTTATTTTTGTGGTTTTATATTTAATGCTTGCTTCGATTCTGGATAAAGAATCGACTTCTGTGCAATGAAAACAACGAATGAACTTCAAATCAATTATCACCAAAAAGGCGCGAGAAAATTGTGACTCAGTGATAACCACATGAACTTAATGAAATTTCATTATTTTTGCAATTGAACTTTAATTGGATAAAGAAGACTTTTTACAGAGAAAAAAAAGACTCCAAACCGTAAATTAAGTGTTAAGCAAATTGAAAGTAATTTAAAATCAACGTGTTGCATTGAAAACATTGCATTTTATCAGTAATCAAATGCTGAATAGTAAAAACACTTAATGTTAGTTAAGAACGTTTAGTGACGAGGAAAAAAAGAGGAAAATATGCAAATTAATTGGAATTAAAACAATAACACTAAAGATAAATAGTCCGTTTTTTGCCAAAGAAATTAGCCAATTGTGAACGAGTCATACGTAAAGAAAGTGAATGAATGAGTCATACTTCGCAATATTTTCAGAAAATCGAAATTCCAATCTTGTGACACCGGTCTTTCACTTCGTGTGCAAAAAAAAAAAAAACAAAACATTATGATCAAGCGTTAATTTTGCGATTTTTTTTTTGTTTGTGTGACATATAATCAGTTAAAATTAAAACCTGAAGGAACTGAAGTTATTCTATACAACAAAAGATCTATGTACAATTTTGATTAAAAATTTGTACGAAAAGTTTTGATCAATAGTAAAGTAATAAAAGAGAAGAGAATATTCATTGAAGTTTCAAGATTGAAGCAGCGCAACGGAATTATTATTGATGATATTGAATTTTGGAGGGAAATTGACTTATTCTGGAACTGTGTCATCGGCTTCAAAATAAATTCAAATTCTTGTTAATGTGCATATGAACAGAGTGATAAGGTAAGTGTTATAATTATCCATTTCAAAATGCCAAAAGACAATGATGTTGTTGGGAACTACCAAAAAAAAAGAGAAACGAACTTAAACCAGAACACAAAAATGTCACTTGTCACCCAAACACCATTATTTTTTTCAAACAGTCCATTAGTTTAATTGGTGAATTTGCATTTCCTGTAGTGTTAAATGCTTTGCGGAAGATACACACATAATGTTCATATATAATTTTTTTTATTCTGGATCAAGACGACCAAGATGCATATATGCTTTAAAATTTATTGGAATAAAATGGCACGTCGACATGACAGTGAAACTTTGAATGGGCCAATTACATTTGAAAGTCACTATGACACGACCATTTCATTTCAAATGGAATTCATCGTTCTAGTAGTGTTTGCCGTTGTGTGACACAATGTGTGCATTGAAGTTGCGATTGATTTGAATTTCACGTTACCACAGAATTTTAATTGAAGCGAAAGAAAAAAAATGAGCGGGCGGGTTTATTAGCAAGGCTCGCAATCCAATTAAATCGAAAAAAACATTGATCAATGTTGAATTGCATCACCGAAAATTCAATACTTTCGAACGAAGAAAGAGAGAAGGAGTAGAGGAGAGAGAGAGATAAAGAGACCGATACGAAAACATCTGAAAAATTTAAATCTGCACAAGTGGATTTCGCACGATCATGCATTTATGTGCCGATCGATGCACTGCCGATTAAATTCATAAACGGCAAAAAAAGTGAATCTCATCGATGTTGGCGCAGACGACTCAAACCATTATCAAGTGAATATGTTCGAACTGAAAGTCATATAATATTCGCATAAGCGATTACACAATTCGATTTATGCGCATCATTCGAACAAGGGTCCACTATATCATGCACCCAATCCAAGCGCAACCATTCAATGTGATAAGTTCATTTATTTTGTGGTATTGATGATATTGCACCATATAGACAGTTTTGATTACACTTCATTCAAATTATTATTCGAATGCCGAGATCCTTTAACCGTGCACTTTGCTTTTTTTTGTGTTTTGTACACAGAAAAAAAAGAGAAAAAAAAATATTTATATATATGAAGGCAACTGCACAGCGAAACGAACGTCACGAAGCATTACTCTTAATATTAACGAATAACACACTACGATAAGTGAATGATGAAAACGAAAATTAAGAAAAGAATGAATGCGAATTTTTGTATTTTTTTGGAAAATTGGATAAAATGTATAATTGTATGTTTTCACGATTAATAAATAGTGAAATTATCGCTGATCCATTGGAGCCCATAATCATAAAACTGATTACAGTACACGCGCAAACGTTTTAAAATTGAAATCGTTCGATTAAATCGATAAACAATTTTATTTTTCTGTATTTGAACGGAAATCGCACACTGGATCGACCTTATAAATGGCCAGTTTTCAATCCAAAATGATTGGAATTCATTCCACACTTTCTTTTAGCCGCATAATCGTTCTTTTCCATATATTTATCGATGTTGTATTGCATATCGAAAGCCATATCAAAAATCCTTCACCAATTCCCCATATCGAAATGTGGTCAAATTGAAATTGGCACTTTTGGCTTTGGCCTTTCATTGAACGGGTTTATATGGTTTAAATTGGAAATAGAAACAGGTGCAACACCACGGCAAATATCGGATATAGTTATTCAAAATATCCGTAAAATGTATTATTACTAGAATGAAATCGATTTGAATATAAAATTCAACGACGTTTGCGCCTTTGTTGCATAAATAAATGAGAAGAAAAAAAAAGAATTCGATGAAAGCTTCATTGTTTGAAGTTCGAAAATGATCGGTTTCGCCAATGTGTATCTTTCGATACCACTAAAGTGTCTTGGCCGAAAGAAATTACCGCGGGAGAAATAGGCATCAAACGCAATGCCATTAATTGTCGATTAGAAATCTCATTCAATACTAAATTTCCACACAAATAACAGTTATTTCTCTCTTTTTTTTTCATCTTTGTTTGATGAGCAATCTTTCGATATTCGATTCAATTCAATATTTCGTTTATATGATACGTTCTGCAAAAAAAAAACCTCACCCGAAAACCGAAACCAAAAGAAAATCGAACAATGAGAATCGGCTTGAAGCGTGCACACACAAAACTGTATTTGATTGTTATGCGCTCTCGGTCTCACATGCAAGTACACGAAATTCACGACTCTATACGATGAATATGGAATAAAGATCGGGCACTGGGAAAATGGCTTAAAAAATGCCTTCCACTTTTTTTTTGTTCATTCGGCGTCACTTTAAAGATGAAAAAGAATGAAAAAAAAAAGAAAATTATTGAAATTAAAGAGAAACTAAAATTGTATGATCGGCTTTGGCAATTGTATTGCTGCTTTATTGTATATCACCTCGGGGAAATTCATTTTTCTTAATTTTCTGATTTGTTGTTGTTATTAAACTGTTGCTTCTCTCAATTTCCCTGCTCCTATAATTTAGTGTCTTGTTCTTCGTTGGTTTTTTTTTCTGTGTTCCCGTTGACTTGATACAACGGCTGTATTTGTTTATTAGGGCGCAATCAGTTCAAATATACACACATACACAAACCAATTCCGTGCAGCAACGAGCATCAGGTATTGGATTTTGATTTCGTCATTTCTCGCGCTATGGATGGCTACACGTGCATGTGCAATATCTCAATATTGACACATCAAATGCTGGCTAGTTTGGTTTTTGCAAAAAAAAAAACGAGGTTGATTCAATGTGCACTTAGATTTATCGCAATGCAATGAAGACATTCGCGCACATAAAGTGATGAAATGGCCCAAAGTTTAGAAAATGCAAATCACAAATCACACAAAATGGGCAGCATCCGAAATGTCTTTCATCGTAAATGAACCATAAAATACACACAGCTTCTCACTTGATATATTTTTTTTTAACAAAGGCCAATCATTTGCCATTGTAAATAAAAAAAAATTAATTACATCGCAATGTGTATGTGTGTGACATACTGAAGATAAATGCAAAAGAAAATAAAGCCAATAAATTTCTGCAATGTATGAATAATCAGCACTGTCTGATGCAACGAATGGATTTGATATGAATGAAAATCGGAAACTAAATGAAATCAGCACTCGCAGTCGTACACAGCTAAGAGCCAAACGAAAATCATATCCCATGAATTGAAAAATCAAGAATATGTTGTAAATGAACTGTGAATGCACGAACCAGAAATACACATAAACACAAAATCGCCATATAATTCGAATACTCGAAAGTCACATCTTCACAAAATTGAGCGCTTATTTATATATATATTTTTGCTTTCGTTCAGTGAGAAGCAAAGCACCAGAGTGCCGTGTGCCCAACAATTCATGCAACAATAATTACACTATATTCGAATTTCTCGTTATTTCTGTGACAAACGCCGGCGGCTGATATCACAACAAATCCATTAAATCTGACAATATTGATAATAAATAAATAAAATATCATTGCAGCTTTTTTTTCATCTTGTGTCCACAAAAAAAAATAAGAGCTCATGATTTTGACTCTGTATTTTAGACGGTTCAGATACACGGCTGAAAAAAGGGAAAAAGAGATCCGAATCAACATAAAAATTGCAGTTTGCTCGATAAGGCCATCACTCCTTGTTATTCAATTTCGATCGGTTCTCTTTTATGAAATTCAAATTGTTCGTCAAATTGCGGATCAAGTGGAAACCAAATGAATAAAAAAACGAACGAAAAATAAGAGAGAAAAAGATACCAAGATACCACTACAAATTGTTTATTATTCGATTAATATGCGATAAAAGTGGACGTATTTAAGAATTGCCGATGAAGTATAAAAAAAATCGTCGGCACCGATCTTCTTCTTTGGCAAATAACTATTGGATGTGCGTTTTTCATTTTTGGCCATTTTATATTGTGTTATTGATTTTTAATTATATCGTTTTAAATTTTGTGCGTATCGTGATTTGAAACAATAAATTTTATATTTTTCAATTAGGTTTATATGCCTCTTTTTTTTACTCAAGAATGTCTTGTGTGTATTTTTTTTTTGTTGTTCTTTTGGTTTTTGAGAATACACTTTAGCGCATTTCAAAAAATTGTGTAGATGTTGGCGTTATGATTTTTGTTGATATGTTCCGCGTTCTTTTATGAGCACGCTATGCGTACGGATTTGATTCAAATTTAATTGCGTCCAAATTTTGTGTTTGGCCTTTCTGTACTCTGTTAGTATTTGTAGCACGTAGTATTCTTGAATTGTACACTATTTGAAATAAAATTAAAAAAAAATATATCAGGCGATTTCAAATGGAAATTGTATGACGTCTGGGGGAAAAACGATTTAAGCGATTCATCAAAATAATCAAAAGATTTCATTCGAACAATGAGTACCAAATGTTTGCATGTTAAAAATGAGTCACTATTGGGTGATGACGGGAAAGTTTTCGCCAACATTTGATTTTGTGAAATCATTTGAATTCACGTAATTTTTCAAATCTACACGAATGTCTTTTCAATCACATGAAAGACAAACGTACAAAGAAAAACGTAATTCTGCTTTCATTTAAAGCATGTTTAGAAGCATCTAAATCTAATTACCCATGAGGTCGCCTCAAAATGCATTTTATAGCCTTAAAACTAGCGATGAATTGAATAAAAAAAACAACACACACATTTATAGTGAGTAAACAAAATAAAATGCATCAATATGAGTTCATGAAAAAGCGATTTTTTGATCTTACAAACATGCAAGGGGTTTTATTAGACACTGATAAGATGAAACCGAAATAGCGTCTTACGACAATAAGCAATGAACAAAAAGGATAAGCAACAGCGATAAGTTCCACGCGAAACAAATTTCATTCACGTGTATCGTCAAACGGCAAATTGAACTGAACTACTATTATGATTTGGAAACTACTGTAATTATAATCATTCTTATCATTCTCTTTGTATTGTTGTATTTTTTTTCTTTATCGATTTGAAATGAACAAGGGAAACGAAATTA